TACACTTGGCGGCTTAGTTCTAACACTGCGTTACAACTAACCCCGCTGTCGTATCTGTCATTTCTCGTGCAATTTACACGCCAAAAACAGTTTTTGCGTGTATATGGTACGCGTTTTTCATTTTTCGCATGGCGTATAATAGGCACGAACTTCTCGAAAGGTTTCATCTCAAAAGGATATCACTATCTTCAATTGTTCAGGCAAACACCTGCTATATACATTTGTCAATTGCATCAAGTCACTGCATGACACATTCATTGCCATCTGTTGTGAACTTTTCCTCTTCTAAAGTGTAGGAAACTCAGAAGCGAAGACCAGGAGACTTGGTTGCGTCCTCAGCAAGATTCTTTATTGAGAAACACAAAGCATGTAAATGAGAGATACAAGCACCGGATGGGCAGAGCTTCCTGCACTGAGACAGGAACCCCAAGATAAATGGTCTTAGTAGTAAAGTAGTAGCCCTGCTCAGCATGAGTCTTCACCCGCTGAGACACGACAACAGGAAAGGGAACTTACAAACACAAGGTGATGGTATCAATTTAACTTGCATTTTGCAATAGATTTATTAGGACAGGTTTGTAACATTTACCGTATAGTAAAAAAAAAATAAAAAAAATCACACTAATAAACTTCTATATAGTACAGTGTGGGAAATCTAAATTAAACATTTAATAAAATTGTAACCTTGCATTTCCCCCGTTGAAATTTCTGATAACTCTCACAAAATACAAATTTAGACAATTAAAGGCACACTATGTTTTTATTCAACCTTTTTTTTAACAAGCGGTTTAATCATAGCCAGCTTAGAGGTTTTTGGTACGTATCCTAATGAGAACAATAAATTAATGATATTAAGAAGAGGATCTGTGACCTCTGGAAGCATCTCTTTCAATACTTCAGTCGGTATACACTCTCAGAAAAAAGATACAAAAGCTGTCACTGGGGCTGTACCTTTTCAAAAGGTAAACTTTTGTCCATTTTTGGTGCTAATATGTACATTTTAGGTGTTAATGTGTCCATTTTAGGTGCTAATAAGTACATTTTAGGTGTTAATATGTCCATTTTACGTGTTAATATGTACATTTTAGGTGCTGATATGTCCATTAGGTGGTAATATGTACATGTTAGGTGCTAATATGTACATTTTAGTTGTTAATAAGTACATTAGGTGCTAATATGTACATTTTAGGTGGTAATATGTACATTTAGGTACTAATATGTACATTTTAGGTGTTAATATGTACATGTTAGGTGCTAATATCATGTAAGGTACCAATATGCAGCCTTTGGGTACAAAAGCATACCTTTTGAAAAGGTACAGCCCCAGTGACAGCATTTGTACCTTTTTTTCTGACATACATTGTGGCGAGGGGTGCGTGGTTTGGCGAGATCTGCAGCGGGAGAGCGAGGGCGCAGCCAGGCGGTGAGTAAGCGGGTCAAGTTCAAATGACGAACACCTGTCTGTGATTGCAGTAATTGGCGTGAGGAGACCGCATATAAGCAGCCCTGGCAGACAGCACTTTTGAGAGAGACTGGGAGCTCGTGCACGGACCGGCCAGACACGACGAGTGACGTGTTCATTGAGATTGAGCCGAATGCGAAGCTGTAGCCAGCGGGAAGAGTTCGTTTTGCCCATTTACTTTCTGTTTGTGATTTGTTTCTGAGTTACGTTATTGTGAGCGCGGAGTGCGCTGTGGAAAGAGTGAAAAATAAAAGTGCACGAGCCCCAGATAATCAGATATCGCCGACCCTGTGTCTCCTTCCATCACCTACACTTCACACAGAACCTGATCTGTATCACATACATGTTGTCGGTTAAGATGATTTAACGAGTTTATAAAATTCACCCTCTCCTATAGCAATGAATGAACCAAATTTTTCCTCAGGGAGACTACAAGGCACTGTAACCACCAGAATATAATTATTTACACCTTGTATTGATTGTGCAGCAAAGTGTCAGAGGAGAGTGTTATGAACGCCTGACATGTGAATAAAGACCATTATGTCTCAAATAGACCAAGCACATAAAAGAAGGCTTCAAAGTCTTTTAAAATATTTTGCTAACACAAACTAAATACAAAACTATTAAAAATTATTCAACAACAATAAACATTAACAATGGCAACATGATTCCAGATAAATTTGCACATTACATTTGGCCTCTTTATTGTAGATTTATGTCTTAGTTTATATTGATGATGTGGTGATGCTAATCTGAAAATCTATTGTCTTTACCTTTAAAGTGTTAAAGCTACCAGAATATCTATAAAATGCCATTTCATTTTACATTTTACACATGTAACGACTATTTGACCATTTTAAGCCAATTCAGTTATATTATTATTATTGCCACTTCCGTAGTGTGTATTTTACAAATTCTAAATGTATAGTTTTTTTTAGTACTTATGTGAATTTAAATGTCTGAAACTTAAAATAAACATTATATGACCATTCTATTTGCACCGGTTTGATCATATGTGCGAAATTCAGTGATTCCTCTGTAACACTAGAGGGAGCCTGCGTCCCACACTTTGAGAACCACTGATCGAATGTGTAGCTGCACTCTTAGAAGAAAAGGTTCTATATAGAACCTTGAAAGGTTCTATCAGCGCTACATATTTGGAACCCCTAAAAGGTTCTATACACTCTTAAAAAAAGGGTTCCGTTCTTGGCCAATAGAACCTTTTACCAAAAAAAAAAAAAATGGTGCTATATAGAACCATTTTGGAGTTCCATATATGAAGCGGGGGATGGAACCATTTCTGGTTCTAAATAGAACCATTTCTTCTAAGTGTGTGGGTTCATTTATGGTGACAAAATCACATGGCATAAAACTTCAAAACTGTATCATAAACATTTTTATTGAGTTAAAACTGTTTTAAACAAAATTATTGAGTCTTTGCAAAATATATAGACACATCTGTGAGATTTTATGAATACATTTTTGGTCTGTGCTGTAATTTTAACAGTCAAGTGCCGTATAAATTCATAATCATGGTCTTGTAGGTCCATCACAGAGCTGAAATAAGCTTCATTCCTCTGATGTCGAGTTTCGTGTTCGACTCTTTCTGTTCACAGACCTTCCCGCTGAAGCCACTCGCTGAATCCTCCGGCGTAATGACGGGCCCTGAGAGACACACAGAGACACGGATGCCTGACTTTTGTCGTTTGTGAGTCAGGGAGGATGAATACGATGAATGATCATGACTTGCTTAGGTTTTTCTGATTATGGGATGAGGATTTAAATCATAAAAAAGTATTAATGGCAATATTTACAGAGCTTTTTCAAGACAATTAAACAATTTAGAGCAAAGCATAATTGATCAGGCCATTATTCCCTGATATAGCCAGGTTTTCAATGATCAAATGAAGAAAAGCAAAGTCAAAAGTCATAATTGTTCAAATGCATTATATTCATACAACCGTTTTATATAAGGGGACACCATATAAAGAGGGAAACCCTGTTAAATAAACCATATAACATCAAATTTTAATATGCAAAATATAATAACATGAACAAAACTCGATCTACTATATTCTTTCTGTGGTGTGGTCTGATTGATAGTTTACTATTTTTAGCTTTTTTTAACAAAGGCCTTTTAGTAAAATTGTCCAAAATATATAAATAATAACTTGATGAACAATTACTGCACTGTAGTAGTTTAGGTTACAGTAACTTGATAATCCATTCAATATTAGAACAATCATGTGAAAATGTGAGTCTCACACTCAAATATGATCATTAGGCTTTTAAGGAAAGTTTATTTGTTCATCTCTCAGTCATATTTGTATTGCGTTGAATTATGTTTTAAAACTACAGGGCTTTGATCATAAAATTTTTTCAAAAGCATTTAATTATCATCTTACTAAGACATATTATTGGCAGATATAGAGAGAACTGATGCATCTTATGTAAGCATCTGCTGTACTGTTACGAAGATCTCATTGATTTACATTACAAGCATCAGAATTTCATCTTTCTTTTTGACCATATAAATATCAGCAACTGCAGAAAAATGAGAATTTCAGCAGCAATTGCTAAATAGGTTTTATTCTCTCTTTAAGTGTGAGATCCATATTCTCACTATATCATGAGTGTTATGAAATGGTTTTCTTTGTAGTATGTCGTCTGATTGGCTCCTGCAGGCTGATTGATGCTGTGTCCTGTTTGGTGCACAGTATTTTTATTATTTTTTTTAGTTTAGTTTATTTCATCATCACTTCCTGTAGAGACCGCTTGTGTTTTGAGCAGGGAGAGTTGCATTGGAGGCAGAGTTTGTGTGTGTGTGTGTAGAGACTGTGAGTAATGATTGTTTGTGTTTGGTGTCTTTTGCTTATTTTCTGACACTGATTTCAGATTGCCCTCTCAATTTGTCAATAACACTTGGCCCTGTAAATAAATTGTAAATATTTAGGATAGTAAAGTAAGGAGTCTGATTGGTTAATTGTGAACTTTTCTGGCGAGGCAGTTTAGCACTTTTGATTCAGATTCAGATTATTTTATTTCATGCCATGTCAGCAGTCAGAGCTATTTTCATGGCAAAAAATTCATTTACAAAAATACAAATATCATATAAATACAACAAAAACAAAACAAATATAAACAAGAAGTCATATTATACAATATATTTATTTTTAATTAACATATGATAAAAAATCCAGAACCTTTTCAGGCTTAATCTCATTAAATATGTCCTTCAAAGAAGTAACTTCATAAAAGAGCCTTCCAGGACAATCTAATAAAAAAATGTTTGACAGATAAAGGAATTTTACAAAACATACATAAAGTTGGGTCTTCACCTTTAAGCAAAAAAGCATGGGTCAAACTTGTATGACCCATACGGCATCTGGTGTTAGCACTTTTGAAACGCGTTTCATGAAGATTCAAAACCTTTGCGAACCTTTTGAACCAGTGAATCAAAGTGTATCAAGCTGCCAAAATCACATGATTTCAGAAAATGAGGCTTCATTACGTCATACTTTTTGAAATTTCTATAATCTCTGTAAACTTTGTACAGAGTAGTTTATACATTGTAGTTAAAGGTCACTCATTGATTTACTGATGCTTAATAATAACCAAACTCTCCATAAAAATTAATTAAAATTTAATAAAATGACACATATTATAAAGACACTTCATATTTAAATGGTATGTGATGATTTTTGCATCTAATAGATTTCCTTCAATAAAACATCTGCAATTGTTTTGTAGCCTAAAAGGTGTTTTTTTTTTTTTTTTTTGCGTGTTGAGTTTTCACTGCATTTACACTGTTCTGGCCAGCAGGGGACGCCAGTGTGTGGCGATTTAAAATGGATTCAAAGTTTCAAAAAGTTTTGTTTCTCCCATTATTAACACCATTGTGTTGGTGCATTGTATTTTCTTTTTGTTAGATTTAGGAAAGGGTGATAAAGCTAAGAACGTTTTATTAGTTATTTCGGCATTGTCATGTCTTTCATGTTACACCCTTTTCCCCAGACGGGGCGCAACAATGAGCTATAGATGCCTGATGTAGCAAATATGATCCGAAAATCTTTGCAAACTATTTTTAGTTTGTTTTTGTTTCTTTTTTTGTCTAAAGTTTCAACAAATTGTTCCAAGTTTAAAGTTTGTATGTGTGTGCCTGCCTGTTTAACTGTATTTTGGGGCAAATTTGAACCCAGAAGTGACCAAAACCTCCCTTTAAGGCCGTCCGTTTGTAAATCTGGTATAAAAATAAAGTAATTCAAGGTTTTTTTTGTTTGTTTTTTTGTGCATAAAGTTGAATAAGGGGTTGGGTTAGTGTAAAGGGGGGGAATATACAGTTTGTACAGTATAAAAACCATTACATCTATGGAATGTCCCCATTTAGATAGCTAAAGCCTAGTTCACACTACATGATTTTAAAATGTCAGGCTGAACTGTGCAGTTCACACTACATGACTTGCTCTCAGTGAAATCATGAGTGTTCAAGTTGTTTACCTGTTCACACCACACAACACAACGTGATTATCCACAACAGGAGGTGACTCACTACACGAGTTAACAACGCACTACATAGAGTTACAACCACGATCGGATGATAAGAGCATATCATTTGTGACTCAATGAGAGCTGGTTCAGTACTATAGTACAGTCTAAATCCTGAAAATAATCAAACAAATAACGAGTTGACAACAACACGATTCTATCTGGTCTAGAAACCATGTTTTGTCACGAAAAACCACGCAATAAAACGAACCAGAAATGACGCGAAACTACAGAGAAGAACACAACACGCGAATATGGACGTCAGACAGAAACTAGTGCTGCACACTGTTTGCTCGACGATCTGCTCTGAGAAAAAAAATGCAAAAAAGAAAAAGTAAGATTTACCTGGTGTCCTCAACCCATGCGTTGCTATGATTGGCTGTACTCATGACATCACTGAGATTGAGTCGCGCGACTGCTCGAGATATCTAGCAGGCTAGATATTTTTCTGAGCTCGGTGACCTGTCTGCGAGCTGTCTGCGAGCTGTCTTTGATGCGTTGTTGGCTCTTTCACACTAACGGATTGGCGAGCGTTAATCGTCCGCTAATCGCCCGCGATTTGCACGCGATAACACCCTGACTTGTCGGCGACTCAACGATTTGCAAATCGGGCTTAAATCGGGCTTAAAATCACGTAGTGTGAACTAGGCTTAAGTAAATGTGTGTGTGTACCTTGTGTATCCCAGAGCTCTAGCGGTCTCCAGCGCGGTGAGGCTGCGTAGGCCTCTCACACAGTACAGCACAAAGTCTGAGTCTTCTCTGTGAGGCTTTGTGACGCCGTAGCGCTCTCTAAACTGATCTGGGCTCAGTCTGAGGGCCTGCTCCACCTCGCTCACTACATCAACAAAAGAAATGTCACTCATAAAGTAAGTGTGTGTGTGTAGAGCTGAACTGTGTGACTTACAAACAATGTTGGTTGCTCCAGGAATAAACCCTGCTTCCAGCTCATGCGGCTCGCGGACATCGACGAGCTGGACGCTTCCAGAGGACATCATGAGCTTCAGCTGCTCGTACGTCACCACACCATCTGAAACACACATCTACTGCTGATCATTCATATCAAGAAGATGTATTAAAGGATTATTCACTTTTAAAATAACCTTTGATAATAATTTACTCGCCCCCGTGTCATCCAAGATGTCCATGTCTTTCTTTCTTCAGTCGAAAAGAAATGAAGGTTTTTGATGAAAACATTCCAGGATTTTTCTCCATATAATGGACTTCAATGGACCCCAACCATTTGAACGAATCTTTTTTTTTCCGAGTCATTTCAGTCTTTGAATGAACGAAATGACTCGAAAAAAAAAAAGATTCGTTCATTTTGATAAACGAGTTCGAACAGGAGAGTCACGAATGCGCATCACAAAACAGAGCAAGGCAAGCATTGAACTTATAAAACTTAAAGTTTTTTAATGACTGATTGTTTCGCTTGATAAGACCCTTATTCATCATCTGGTGTCGTTTAAAGCCCCTTGAAGCTGCACTGAAACTCTCATTTGGACCTTGAACCGTTTGGACCCCATTGAAGTCCATTATATGGAGAAAATCCTGGAATGTTTTCATCAAAAATCTTAATTTCTTTTCGACTGAAGAAAGAAAGACGTGGACATCTTGGATGACATGGGGGCGAGTGAATTATCAGCAAAAGTTTTTTTTAAAGTGAACTACTCCTTTAAGTCTGTTCTATCTATGATCCAGTCATCATTACACACTCATCACTGGTTATTGATAAATCCAGATATATGAACTACAGCAGCTCTGAAAAGGTGATTTGCCAAAACTATATTGCTTTATTTCAAACCTAACACATTTTGTTGGGGGTGATTGGTAAATATATATTTTTTAAAGAAGAAGCCTCTTCTGCTCACCAAACCTGTATTCATTTGATCAAAAACACTGTAAAAACTGTAATATTATGATATTATTGCAATTAATTTTCTACCTATTCCTGTCGTCAAAGCTGAATTTTCAGCATCATTAATCCAGTTTTCAGAGTCACATGACCCTTCAGAAATCATGATAATATGAAAATTTGCTGCTCAAGAAACATTTCTGATTATTATTATCAGTAATAAAAACAGTTGTGCTGTTTGATATGTCTGGAAACTGTGATCATTTTTTGTAGGATTCATTAATTTAATAGAAAGTTTGAAATAACTATTAGAAATATTTTAAACATTACACGTCTCTTTTATTGTCCCTTTTGATGCTTTCTTAAAAGGTACTAATTTCTTTAAAAAGCTATTGAAACAAAATATCTTGCTGAATCCAAAACTTTTGAATGGCAGTGTGTGTTGTTTCTAAATACTTTACGGGAGAGTTTATTTAGATCTAAACTTAATTCTAGTGGTGATGGTTTATCATTCAGGCCATCATGAGTGTAAATGTGTCTAATAATGTCCTAGAAAAAAGAAAATTCAGCTCATTTAAACCAATAAAGAGAAATTGATTTATATTTAAATCAATATTGTGACTCCCCAAAGAATCAATTCTTAAAATCCTTATTTTGCCCTGTGGCCCTGATAAACTGTGCAGAGCTATCAAAAAATGTGTGTAAACTCACTGGAATCTAGATTTCCACACACATAATGTTGATTCAGTGACTTCATTATCATCACGTGTGTCACAATATACTCACTCACAGTGGGAAACTGGCTTGTTAAGTTGGTTTTTACTAACTATTTAAAGAGTTCAGATGCAAAAGCCTCTAAATGCCATTTGAAAATTTTCTTCTAAAATGACCATTTTTATCAAGCTTGTATATTTAAGTTCAGTAATTTCACTTAAATAACAATTAATAGGTAATCTTCATTGCCATTTAAGTGAAATTACTGAACTTAAATATACAAGCTTGATAAAAATGATCATTTTAGAATAAAATTTCAAATGGCACTTAGATGCTTTTGCATCTGAACTCTTCATTTGTTTTCTTCAAAAATAAAAGCGTATAGCGCATTAATATGATATTGTTATTAATAGGATATTGCCATTTTATTACTATATGTTGCCAGCAGTACCTTCTGAAATACCAGTTTAAAGTGTTTGTATAAACTTCAGAGCATTTATATTCTATATGTCCCTCTTAAAGGCCCACAAGTGCATGAACTTTAATATGCAACTATCTGGAATTCTCGATATTTAATGCAAAATGATTGAAAGTGACGAGATGCTAATTTCCATGGATACAGAGATCCATAATTTCTAGTAGTCACATGAGGCATGCCTTTTTCTAATAGCATAGATCAGACTTGTTATTACAAAGATTGTTCATGATGCAACATTAAGCCTTTATTGGTGACCCATGAGTCACTAATGCCGAGTTCAGACTGCATGATTTTAGCCACGATTTTGGCTCGCCGACAGGTTTTGAGAAATCACAGGCAAATCGGCGCTCGTTCACGCGAGTGACAATCACGCAGTGTGAATGAACAAAGACGCGAACTGAGAGAATCACCGACGAGTCGCCGACGCCCGTGAGATATTTGGCATGCTAAATATCTGGACCTGTCGGCGATTCAAAATCCTGCTGTGTGAAAAGTGTTTTGACTGAAAACTACATCGGCGATCACCGGCAGCCAGTGAGAGAGCAAGATACAGAGCAGCAGGGAGTTCGGGGAGGAGTTATAGATCACATATCAACATGATATGGCATTGTTTCAACAAAAAAAGCTTCTTCTCGGTCTATTTGGACACAATAAATGGAAGAAAAATTAGTAGAAATTTGGCAGGAGCACTCGTGTCTGTTTCACCAGCTGTACCACAACCGGGTCGAAAAAAAAAGTCTCACGTGAGAACTCCGGTCTTGCACGTGTGGTGTCGCGCGTTGTTTCCTTTTCATATCTCACGCGTGTTTGTTGTGAAATGTAGTTTGCGTGCAGCGTGCTAGACAAGAGTCTGTCGGCGATTTTTCTAAAGTCATGCAGTGTGAAACCTTCTGTCGCCGATCCATCGTCCAGTGTGAACACAGCAGTGACTGAATGCTGGCCAAGATAGTCATGCAGTGTGAAAAGAGCAGCGACCTGACTACTTTGAAAATCGTGCAGTCTGAAAGAGCCATAACCCTACGTGCAAACTCGCATGCTGTATCCTACATGTAATAAACACGAAATAATTTTGCTTCGAATATAGCCCAGTGATTATTAACTTGATGAGAAAACTCTTTACCTGTATTTAGAGGTTGGTTGTTAGAAGTTTCAGTCCATTTATCGCAGTTGTCAGCTCCGTTATTATCACACTGATTCGCTGACACAGACAGAAGCAGGAGCGCCACGAGAGCGCGCACACCTGAACTCACGCGCTTTACTGTATTCATCCCTATCTTGTCTAATAAAGATCGATGCGTGGTCGTGTACAGATAGAATTAAGTTTGACCATGTATCATCTACGACTGAGGCGAATAATACACGGATCTGAGAGTCACTGACAGCGTTTATTGTGAAACATGAAGTGTCTTTTTCCTCCAGGTGGCGCTCAGTGGCTCAAAAGCCACATTCATTTCTGTCGCTTATATTTCTACTTCTGCACTAGTCTGTACAAATATTTAACTCTTTAATAATGGCGCTAAGGAATTTTAATAGCATGTCAAACAGGAACGTTTGTGTGGTAAAATTGTAAAAGTTGTAAATTCCATTGGACTTGACCAATCAGAGCGAACGCCTGGGCTACTAAGTCCCGCCCCCAATTGTTTTTTTCCTGCTCATTTTTGGGATCGTCCTCCCTCAGATTAAACTAAAAAGAAAAGTGGAAAGAAACATTAGAGATCCAATATTATATTTCATAAATATATTTAACTTTAAAAACTAACAACATTAACTTTATATAAGATTTAGCAATAGGTTTTAGCCTCATTTTATATATATATATATATATATATATATATATAAAAAAATTATCCTCCCCCGCCTCTAAACACATGGTATGTTCCGGTGACGATGGCTCATAGTCATATGATCTAAGCAGCATAAATACTGTAGCAGTATCAGTGATTTCTGCGAATTTGACTGTCTAAAGTTTAAACACGCACTTTTTTACATCTCGACAACGACACATTATTGCAATGGCCACCAAAAAGGTTATTGGAGGGCCTTCCGAGGAGAAGAAAGCCACTCCAGAAGTGCAGAAGATCTGTGATGAGGTGAGATGGTTTTACTTTTGTTTTGATGGCGTAAATCAGCTGACGTAGGAGTGCACGTGTTTATTTATTAGTTCGTATTAGCTATTTATTAGTAGTACCGTATTCAGAAGTTTATACGTTATTTTGATATATTTACGTACAATATTAAACTAAATAATATACAACTATATTAAACAGCCAACCAGCTTAATATTTAACTTGTATATTTCATTATATGATATTAAATTAACTTGCATTGTGTGGTGTGTTATCGTCAAAGAGACAATTATTCAACTCTCAATTTTGCCTTAACCTGATATACGTTGACAATAGTGCAAAGTTAACCAAAAAAAAAATAATAATTATATACTCAGTCTCTAGACTCATGAGAATCTCTATATTCCCACCAAACACAATAAATACTGATTCAGCTCCACTAATCTTCAGTAGGTGTTGGTCTGAGATGGGTGTGGCACGGTAATTCATCATATACTCTGTGTGAAAGAGTTTACTATTTTTATTTTTTAATGTAGCATAAGAATATATAATAATGTAAGAGTGAATATTACACGCATATCAAGAGCATGTCTGTATCAAAAGGGGGAAAATAAATTATATTTTTTATTAAAATTCACTATTTACACTTTGTTCTGACCTCACTTCAAAGTTGACAAATTAATGTATTTCTCTGTTCACACCTGAACACAAACTAATCCATTGGTTTGAGATGGGTGTGTCACAGTAATTCATCATATACTCTGTGTGAAAGAGGCTTTTTCAGTTGGTTTCACTACTTTAAATTATAATGGAAGAGTGAATATCACAAGCATGTCAAGAGCATTTCTGGATCAAAAGAGGGGGAAAAACAAAATATATTTTTATGAAAATGAACTGACTATAGTGCAAAGTTAATACAAATGTATGTACATGTCATAGTCTAGACTCATGAGAATTGCTATATCAATAAATCCTGATTCAGCACTGAATGAATGACTCATCTTCAGTAGGTGTTGGTTTGAGATGGGTGTGGCACGGTTCATCACATACTCCCTGTAGTTTTTTTTTCACTTAGTTTTTACTACTTTTCTTTTTTTGGTTTAATAAATGTTGCATTAGAATATGTAAGAGTGAACATCACAAGTATGCCAATAGTATTGTTCATGCATCAAAAGAGGGGGAAAAAATAATTATATTTTCTAAAAATGAAGTGACAATAGTACAAAGTTAGCAATCTAGTATTAGTTTATATGTCATAGTCTAGATTCATTAATCTGTATTCAAACCTAAACACAATTATATTACTAATCTGTTGATTTGAGATGGGTGTGTCGCAGTAATTCATTTGTAAAAGGCTTTTTCAGTTGGTTTTTACTTTAATATTTAATGCATGGGGGAATTGAATATCACAAGCATGATTCAAAAGGTTCAAAAGATATATATATATATATATATATATATATATATATATATATATATTATATATATATATATGAAGAGTTCAGATGCAAAAGCCTCTAAATGCCATTTGAAATTTTCTTCTTTAATGATGATTTTTATCAAACTTGTATATTTAAGTTCAGTAATTTCACTTAAATAACAATTAATAGGTAATTATCATTGCCGTTTAAGTGAAATCACTGAACTTAAATATACAAGCTTGATAAAAATGATCATTCTAGAAGAAAATTTCAAATGGCACTTAGAGGCTTTTGCATCTGAACTCTTCATATATGAAGCAAATTTTCAGACCAGATTTTCAATTAACCACATTTGCATTAAATCTGCATCTTTTGTTTCAGGTCAAGTCGGCTGCAGAAAATAAGGCTGGGAAGAAGTTTACTGTTTTCATTGCCAAATCTTACACCACACAGCTTGTGGCCGGGACCAACTATTTTATCAAGGTAAACTGGTTTTGTCATGTTCCAACCTGCATTTTGTGAGTGATATGTGCTGAAAGTGTATTTAAAGTGTCCTATCACCCTCTTCAGGTGGATGTAGGAGGAGAGTTCGTCCATCTGAGGGTTCATAAATCACTGCCTCACGCTGGAGAAAAACTAGACCTGCATGGGATTCAGACCTCAAAATCTCAGCAGGATCCCATTGAATACTTTTAAATCTGGTGTCTCATTCTCTTTCTTCACATACTATACACTTCCATACTGTATAGGTTAATGTGATCTGCTCAATGCTGTTACAAAACTATTATCCAAATGTACATTAAAATGAACCCAATACTGTGCCTTATATTATTTGGATGAGTTTTATTCGATATTTGTCCAGTTTTACAAAAGTTGTATTGAGGTGAAAGAATTGCACATGAATACTGTACGAGTCATCATTCCAGATCTGTTTTTATAAAAGATGCTGCTTCTGAAATAAAGGGAAATTTCACATTTCAAGTGTGTTTTTATTTACACCTCCAAAAGAATGTGCCAGTAATCAGTGTTGGGTAAGTTACTCTAAAAAAGTAATTAATTACTAGTTACTAATTACCTCTTCAACAGTGTAATTAGATTACTGTACTAATTACTCTCTCTAAAAAGTATTTAATTACTTTTAATTACTAATTACTTTCAAAATCCCAGCTGAATGATACAAGGATAGATTTTAATTCTTTCAAATAAATACTATACAATTGCATGAATTATCCTTAAACTGACCAAGGTGGAGAAGGTTACATCATAAAAACATACTTTTTAGCATCAGACAATACATTTTGATGTTAAACCCACTATTGTTTTGTGTCTGATCTCATGACATTTCACACTTTTTTCATACATATTTTACAATAATTTATACGAATTTGTACGAGTGCGGTCTAAATATTTAGACACCTCATAGAACGCATACGAATCGCTGTGAGATCGGATTTATACACAGTATTTACCTCAATTACATCAGAAGTAACTGTAATTAAATTACAGATAAATGAAGAGTAACCCCTTACTTTACATTTTCAATGGAAAAGTAATTAAATTACAGTAACTGATTACTTAGTAATAAGTTACACCCAACACTAGCCAGTAATAATAACATCGCCAGCACACAGTACAACTACTGTATGTATGTATATATATGGTATATATATTTGGAGAAGCTAGAAAATCTTTGAGGCTTCAAAGCAAAAAGACAGACAGTTTTGTGTCTATTCCTGAAATATCAGCTGGAATATTAGTCTCAAATAATAAACATAATCACAATTAAAAACTTTGCAATACAGCTGCATAAATCATAATGGAGTACACCCTTTTTGTTCGGTCTCTTTCTATCCATCTATCTATTTCGTTCTGTCGTTCTATGTTAAGTTTGCATTCAGCTATAGCAACTATAAAATGCTTTTTAAGCATAAAAGCAACAGGAACATTGTCACGGGAGCTTCTGAAAGACGCATGATTAATCACACGTGAAGCATTACCTCGCCTCACTGAGTCACACTTCTAAACCTTTACATGTTTTACTATTATGTTACATTTTTATAAAGCCAAAAGGAGTTAATTTATTTATACTACACCCCCTTTAGATTTTTTCTTAAATGTCTGGTTATTCCTGCTATTTTGGGACTAAAATATGTTTTGATAAGATACCTAACCCAATGTGATTTCTTGAAAGTCTAAGATAATTCATATTTTTAAAACCTTTGCATAAAGATATTTGTGATATTGTTGCACAAATTCTGAGAGAATGTACTAGATGTCAAAAAACTGGCACACAGCTTGAAACCATAATGCATATTAAGCTTAAAATAAAAAGGAACTTGAGCTGACATGTGTCTAAAAGAAAATCTTGATTAATCACACTCAAAACAATTTAACATAATGCTTTAGTGTTAAATTGTCAATGCTGGCAAATGGCCATGTTGTAAAAAAGCGATTTGAATGCACTCACGCAGGTCTGTTAAACATATATGGTGAAATGTTGGCCCACATGTGCTCAGCCATGTCAGCTATCTGCCACATTTGGCCCAAAAGTTCATGCTATCTGGGTTGCCTCCACCTCATGCACTATTACTGTTTGCACTTGTTGTGGATTATCCATTATAGGCCAGTTAACATGTTATTTAAGGAATATATACGCGTATATGGGGTGATGAAATGATTCTTAAAACAAATTAGTGGAAAAATCGATAACACTTTACGACGTGCAAACAACTGTGCAAGTAAACCGAAATTACAGTGTACGTTCCTGTAATTAGATGTTCAAGCACGAAGTGCTGAAAACCTATTGTATTTGCTAGAAAGAAAAAAATAAATAAAAAAAATCGGTAACACTTTACAATATGTGTGCACTAATAAGCATTAACTAATGCACAGATAATACTGAATTAATGTGTAACTAATGATTATTTAAGCTATTCATTAATGATTACCACATTAGGAACTAATTAAGAGCCTGTAAGGTTAATGTATTAGTTCATACACGAATTGTCATTAATTAAATATGTAATTGTGGATTAATTCCATAATAACTCATTTTTTTAACTAATAGTGTTAATTAATATGTTAATTACCAGAATGAGCCAAAGTCTTGTATTTCAACTTCCAGGTAATATGACAGGTACACTAATATGCATTAATACATGATTAATTACTTAATTGTTAGTGCAAATTCATGTGAAAATTACCACAATTACTAAATGACTAGTTAATAATGATGTGCCCCATCAAGTAAAGTCATAGCATAATGATACCTTTGCAAATCATTAGCTAATGATTAATTAAAGCAGACAACTGGAAGTTGAAGTGCATAGCTTTGACTAATTGTGTAATTAACACATTAATTTACACTATTAGTTAAGAAAATATGTTATTAAGGAATTAATACACAATGACACATTGAATTAATAGCAATTCATGTATTACTTAATCTATTATTCATATTGACTCTTTATTAGTTGCTGATGCAGTAATCATCAATTAATGGTTTAGGTCTTCATGAGTTATACATTAACTCATGATTATCTGTGCATTAGTTAAGGATGAATTAATGCACATTAGTGCACCCGTATTGTAAAGTGTTACCAAAAAATCCCCTAAAATGCATCATGCAGCCCAAACCGTAAGGGCTGGAGCTCTGAAACTTTGTCAAATGGTAGGGCCTCAAATTGAGGAGAACCTATCAGAGTATGAGCCCGATTGGCCCATAGGTGGCGCTACAGCAACCAAAAGTACTAAATTGCTCATAACTCGTAGACCGTTTGACTTAGCTTCAATGTTTTTACACCACTGTAATCCCTGGCTCAAGACGGACAAGATGTATATCTCGGATTTCCATTTGGAGAAAAAATGTTATTTAGGTTTTTGTCCAAAACCCACTTTTGCGAACTTGTCCCTGTTTTTTTGCCCAATCGGGGCCAAACCAGTCTAGGCCTATTCTCTGGACTCTCTAGATAAATAATTATCGAAAAAAAAAGTTTAAATTTTGCATTTGGTTGGCTGTAACAGGGTCGTTTACAAAAGGGGTGGGACAAAATGCACCCAAAATCATATAAATCCTAAAGGAAAACTCACAAAAAATTTCACAAAAATTAATGGGCATATGTCTCATAACATGCCGAACAAGCAAGCACAGTTTCATGGAGATCGGACCATAGGTGGCAGTATAACTGTTAAAAAGCTTTAAAACCATGTATTTCCAATGTTAAATTGCCTGTATTGATTGTAAATGGTGTTTTACATGTATTATGTCGGTGGATAAATGCATGTTAAATAAAATTGAATGCCTTTTGATGCTTTTGTGCTTAAAGGCCTGAACTGCTTGAACACCGATAAATGCTGCTTGCAGCTTTAATTATAGTTTACTTCTATTTAGGTATAAGGGAACAATATGTTAAGTTTTGGGTAATAAAGGGGTACAACCAGATGTACTGTATGCAAATTATTTATAATGTAATTATTTTAAAACAGGTACCTATTCTGTTAATATATTCCAGGCAAAAATTGTACGTATGTTGTCTATAAAAGTTATCATCACATTTCTGGCAAAATATGTTCATGTGCAATAATTTTGACATCTGTAGGTTGTAAATTTAATATATATCTGGTTGTACCCCTTTATTACCCAAAACTTAACATATTGTTCCCTTACACCTACACGGAAGTACACTATAATTACGTAGACATACACTGTAATCTCGGATTATTTACGTAGTTGTTTGCGGGTCGTAATATGAAGTGTTACCGAAAAATCTGGTATGTTGTTCTTTCTCTAGTCTAGATGATTTGAAAGGCTATACATGTACCAGCGTCACAGTCTCAAGGCTGTGGGAAACTCATGGCTTTCAATGTGTGTCAGTGGACTGTGATCTATATGCATGCTTGCCGTCAGGAGCCAGTCTCGTGCAAACTACCAACACTAACATCTGACCTCTCCTTTGGTAATCGGGAAAGGCAACAGGACGGTTTTAAAGACTCAAGCTCTTATAGTTTAATATAAAAATGATCCCATGTGAAATTTATATACTGAAAACAATACACATGCGCTAACTTAATACATGAGAGCACACTTGCTACAGTATTCATTAATCTTTCTTAAGGTTAGTTAATAAAAGCAAAGATATTCATTGTCAGCTCAAATATATTAAATCCGATAAAACTTAACTTGAAGCCTTTTTATATAAAATGCATTATAAAAGTATTTTAATGCATTAATTCGTAATGCATGGTCTCATGAATAATTGTAATAGATTATATACTTGTCTATTCATTGCTACAATGCATTAAAACACATGACAACTGGCATCTGCAAATACTATAGTGAATTTTAACTTTGGTTACAATTATTTATGGAAATAAATAATGCATTTGAACTTGCATTATTAATACCTTTATAATGCATAATACATCAAGTGTAACTGATACAACTATTGATTTTAAAAATGTATTAGTAAATGCTAAAATTAACATTAAAGCTGCAGTCTGCAGTTTTTGCTCTTTGTCGCCATCTCTGTTCGAAATCTGCAATTGCAGTCATTCACACAATTATCAACTTTACGTGAGTTGTGCCTCGGCACAATGTTTGAGGAGAGTGTGTGTGTCAGTCGCCGCCGGTGTGGATACTGGCATTCACAAATCACAGATTAGTCTTTTTGGAAGTATGACCAACATAGGAGTTTTCACCGGAAAATATCATCAAAAAAACATCCACTTTTGTTCTGACCGACTAAGGGAACAAAAACATTGCAGTAAAAGCCCTTGTACACCGAGTACGAAATTCGCATCCGAAATTAATAATCCGTTAAAAAATAAATACGACCTCACGTTATGTCAATCACGCTTGCACACTGCCTACGAAACTTTCGTCTGTCATAAAAAAAAAAAAAAAACACGATTCGGATTCGATTTTCTGCGTTTTTCGCATTCGTAGCAGGCAGTTTGAATGATTTTTGGACAATTCAGAG